AGCTACAATAGTTTGAAGGTAACATATTTCCCATGAGATTTCAGCTCACTGTCCAAAATTTACAGAAGGACAAAGTTAAGTGATCGAATCATAAAGGCACTGATGTCAGAACAAGTGTCGGAATACGTCAGCAAAGGCTGAGATCTACTGGAAACATTTCCGAGACACGCTGATGTGAGGAGTTGGAGGGTTATACTTTCGAAAAATGTTACATTTACAAGCAACTTATATTTCTATGGTACATGACGAAATTCCCAGTGAATCACGAACACGGCTCGAAGGTAAACAGCAGGGATACCTTAAATGTGCATATTATTGGTCAAAACAAACAAAAAACGATTTTGAGGCTTCTGTTCAAAATTTTTTAGATCTAGAAAGAATCTACCTATAAAACTATTATCATTGAAGAAAAAATATGATTACCGCGACGACGTCAGGAAGATGTACGTGAAGCACGCAAGCGATGTCAGGACGGGCACCGTGAATGGCCGAATGAAGACTCCAGGCAGCCTTGTTAGCGCCGAGCACAGTACTACCAGGGTCCAGTATGTTGCCTTGAAGAAGATCAGAAGTGCAAGCAATAATCTAAATTTGATGGCTCCCGATAACTAGAAAAGAGAACGCAGTAAATTCTGGACGACCGCCGGTATGGATGCAAATCTATAGTTTGGAGGCAACCTCCACTGACGCACTAGTACTAAAGTTGACTGAATTGGAGAGGCCCCTGGACAATTTCGACCAAATTTTATTGTGGGCGCCGGTATTCGTGAAGGCGATAGCGCCTGATGGACCACCTTAGATTACAGGCTTAGAAGTTAGGCTGCGAAAACAGTGCACTGCCGCTCAATAACAATAAAGCCTGACCACCACATGTACCAATGGGCAATCGATCTGTCCATGCAAGTGTATGCCAGGCACTTTGGGTGTGGAACAATGTACAGCATAGAACAGCCGCGGCTGCAACAATAAAGCATAGGAGGAAACGTGTGCATGCCTCGTCATGCAAAACACCCGCTGCTCAGCGATGAGTCAGCCAGTCCTTCAAAATGGAGGGCATAGTCTACCATATTATACCCTGTCTAGCAAACACTGCAACAGGCCGAATGAACCATGTATCTAACACAGAACACGTAAAAGGCTAGGCAGACGCTGGATGTCGTTGAAAGCAGGAAAATTTACACTTATTCCAGTACTCTCGCCTAGAAGATGAAATCATGAACATGAATCTTTACAGGACGATTTTACAAGGACTAATCTTTGCGTGAGATACACCGAAATACTGATAAACGTGGGCATTCAATATTAAAAATGACCAGCGGTACCTACTTGTTCAACAAGGCAGTGAATTAGCAATGTGTTGGTGAAGAACGTTCAGAAAAGTTTCATCGCCGAAGGAATATGATACGGGCGGAGGAAGATAAGTAGCATAAGGAGCAGACGGCAGTGCAGAGAAAAATCTAATACTGACCACACTAGCAAAATCTCAAAATGCCAGCGGTGGCGCAAAGTTATCAGAAAATTAGCAGGATTGTTAGATACGGAAACTGTTCCCCTCTCAAATTTAAAACTGTTATACGCGTTAGGTGGTCACCGTATTAGCATCGGATGGAGCATCAATGGCACGGGAGGCAGTATCGTAAATTAATAGCGAATAAACTGGGGAGCCTGATGAAATTACCTGCTTCATCCACCTTCACAAGAGTTGAAGCCTGTACTTCATGGTAGAGTAATCCAAAGGGATTGACAAGGAATTCTCCTTTTGCGCATCGAGCCTAACAAAATAAAAGAGGGGGTAAAGGCAAACGTTAAACAGCATCAAAAATACCACATCGTTGCAAAACAATTGGTAATTATTTTCAAGTAGTGCATTTACGTAGAGGTACACATTACGCTCTCGTCCGGAT